CGCCAAACAGACACATAAGATTCCTATATGGGTGCCAGTGCGAGGTCTGGTAAACAGCGTTTCGCTGTGAAATTTGTAAAACCCGCCTTTCTGACTGTCTGATCGTCTTGGATGGCCAGATGACTACTAGTAATGACACACAAATTATTATTATATATATATATATATATATATATATACACACACACACATACATACACACACACACACACACACACACACACACACACACACATTATTAATTCAGCAAATGTGTTTCCATCATAATTTATTTATATCCTTTTTTACACACCCATGGAAACCATTCCAACACCAGTCTGATATCACACAGTTTCTGCAAATGAAAAGGTCATTGTGCTTGATTCAGAGCATATATTGTCTCGCAGCCCCCATATTGGAAAAAAATTATATCCGTATGTGGATTCTAACATCCCTAATGTCTATACACACACTAGCTTGGATATACACAGAACAAAGTGACCAGCTACTTCAGATAAAAGGCATTCGTACTGTAAATGTACTGCCCTGATCAATCATGGCACATTTCTTTTTTTTTGAAACAATTATTTCTGCTGTCATACCAAAGGCTGAATTTATCTGGGCTGAGGCTGAGTCTCAGAATAGAATGTAGACTTTGAGGGCAGAATCTAAGCTCCCTTTCTCTACACACACAGACCACCACTACATTACCTCTTTGGTAGGCTGTAGGACCAGATTATCTGAAATGTGAAGGAATCTGGTGAGTGAAGAGTTTTCTTCAGCTCTGAACAAGAGAATAAAACTCTGTACATCACATTCTTTAATGGTGAGCAGCTTACTGTTACTGGTCTGTTCAGTTTTAGGGCCATATTTTACATAAGAAATTAAAGACAAATTGCAGTGGCTCAGGAGATGTCATCTTATGTTTGTTTATCATCTAATATTACCATTATTTTCTTATTAAGAGCAAAAAAGTATACATTTTAATTTCTTCATTAGTCCACGGGAGTCTGCTGCCTTCTGAGACTCATTGCTACAGCAAGGCAAAAACAGACACAAGCGAGTGATCAGGTTTATAATTTAATTCTACTTAACATTATTAATTCAGCAAATGTGTTTCCATCATAATTTATTGCTTTTTGCTTTTACTGGCAAAAAGTGTATTCACCTCAAGCAAGCGTACAAACTTATGTGAAATTCGGCAATTACATTCACTATTTGTCGTTCAACATTTTTTTTTCCGATATGGTAAAATATGTATAATAATACATGGATGTGAAACCTAGTTAGTAGCACAAACGAAGTGTGACATACAGATAACACAGATAACACAATGGATGGAGCATCATCTTATTAGAGAGCAACAAAAAGCAGCCAGTCGCTTTCCTATCTATTTGATCTATACAGACAAAAAAGACTTAATATTTCTATTAAAAAGCTTCTGCAAAGTAAATTAATCACACAATCTAGTAAGGTGTGAAACTACACAGGATGCCCTTAGTCCCACGTTCTCACCTCTCAGTGTCAAGACCGTGTGTGCCTAATCAGACGTCTATCACCTTCACAGAGACCATACAGCAACAAGCTTGTATGCAAACAATAGCTGTTCTAGGACCAGTTTCTGCAGCTTTATAACAGGCCCTAGATCAGCAGCTGAGTGACAGCTTCTGTCAACAAGCTATCTATCTGAGTGAATAAACAGCCTAATTTAATTAGAAAATAAAAAAGGTAAAGATTTGACCGTACCATGTGTCTCCCATTTCAGCGTTTGAATGAGGGCCAAAGTGGAGGCTCTATAAACAGGGAGCAGATGGAAGGACTCAAGTACAGCTGAGAGTGTCAGGTCATTATGACCGCAACATACAGAATTCACTACTGGCTCTAACATCGTGTTTGTGGTCAGCTAAACTGAACAAGGTCATCAATTTTATACGGATTGCACCAAGGTTTATTTCAGTTTACCCAGTAGGAGGATGGAAAAAAAATCGATGGAGCAGGATTTTCTGAATTTCAAACAAGGTACAAATGGATCCCAGAGACAAGTGTCCCCAAAGCATTGTACATATAACAGAGTGTGCTCAAAGTGATACAGTCTTAATTATCTTACAATGATCAGATCACTGCAGTGTTGTTGGGGGGGGGGAAAGGCCCAAACACAGCCGAGAATGAGAAATTATATTAAGCTACTCAGAAAATGCAGAATCTTATTTTTTGACTTCCCCAGTCTCTGCTGTCTGGTGCATTGAAACCTTCCTCATTTCAGAGCATCAAAAACACAAAGTTGAGGTTCTTAGAAAGTTTTTGGAGAAATTAATCTCTCTCACCACATGCAACAATATGACTCCATGCATCAGCACAATTCATTAGTATAATATCTAGAGCATGACCATGGCAAGACTTCCCAAAACCATCACATTGCTAACATAATTTTAAGCATAAATAGCTTCCAGAGCATTGTACCGAATTCCAAAGTACAATGATCTGCAATGACAGCAATAAGATGACAACAATGGCAGCACATCACGGATGGTCCCTCAAACTTTCTTGGATTTAAAGTGTAACAGCTCACTCAGGGCTGACCAAAAGCAGAGGATTCAATCACATGGCTCCCAAAAGTTCTCAAGATCTATTAGAACTAAGGTGCACAGATGAACCATCTGTTTTGCACATCCACTTCAAACAGCCCTCGGTTGGGGAGTATACTGGAGAGGCCTAAGCTGTCAAACACTGTCCTAGCTATTATTAGAATGATTTTGTCTTGAGCTAAATCTGGGTGACAAATGGCATTCAAGGTTTTAGATCTTCCGACCTGGTTTATAAAGAGGACCTTAAACCTAGGATCAAAGTCCTCTTATAGCTTGCACATTACAGTGGGCTAGAGGTGGGCAACGCTTACATGTTGTTGTTACAAAGACATGGCCTCATAATATGCTTTTCTGAGTATATCATGGGTATTGTTAATACTTCAAGAAAACATTTTTTAATGTGTCACTTTTGTATTGATGGTGGTGTTTTGGTTCAGTCTGTACCAACGTTTTGCAAACCTCAGAAAAACTATGTTTTACTATGTGATACTGTGTATTGAGGAAAAAGTCTTCATGTAACGTGGAGATGTATTTTGCCACCCATACAACAGGCAATTAACTCTGATCACTTAAATTTCACAAAGCTACATACACTATATGCTTGGACTATTACAAAAGAACAAACATTACAAGGAAAAGGAAAAAAAAAGCATTAAAACAATTAAGCAAGCCAGGATCAGCTAACACCTGTAGTCTACAGGTACTGGGTATGAAACTTAAGACGTTGACCCAGTGCGAGGTCAGAATTTCTAATTGCTACAGCAGGAGCAGAAACCACTACAGCTCTCAGTGGCCTACTCACCTAAAGAACCTGATACCTTCCAGTGTCCAACACAGAGAAATCACAAAGCAACTGCTGTTTTCATCCTCCTCAGACCAGCGAAACTGAAGACAGAATGGGAGAGCAGCAAACCCACTCAGCACTTGAAGGGCTCACATCATAAAATAACTTTTTTTTTTAATAAATGAGTTTGAAGAAGTATGTGGACATTGCTAAAGTTTCATACATCATTCACTCCCCAGTCGGCGCATGGAAACTGCACTGCAAAAACACCCACACTGAATTCCTTGTTTTTGTGATGTCATGAAAACCAGCACATTGGCATATATTTGTCTTTTCAGTCTACAGCAGTTCATCCCCACCTACTCACAGTGAAGTTATAAAGAGTGCTTCAGAACTGACCACTTACTGAATGAGGCACGATACAGAACAGTGGTCATTCACGTATATTTGTCTTAGTCACAGTAACCAAAACAGCCTGTTTAATTCTAAGGAAGAAGAGAGATTGGAAAATGGTCAATGAAAGTACAATGAATAAGTGTTTTGACACAAAAACTCACACTAATGTCATAAGTGGACCTCAGGGAAAAAATATAAAACCACAAGAGAAATGTAGGATAACCAGGATAAAAACCAGGATATGTCTGTATTTTATTTCCTCCCACAGTCTAATCTACTGAGCACCGCCACTCCTGTGACTGATAAATCACAGCAGTGGATTAGATGTTTGTGTGCTGTGGAAGTGTATTTTTCGTCTGTGGGTCTGGAGAGCTCTCCTGCAGGCCTTTGTTCCAGACCAGCATTCAGCTTAAAGGAGCCCAGAGGAGAGCAGTAACTGAATACAAGCAGAGACTGAACTCTTTACTGCGCCTCAGTCATAAGTGATCTACAAACAACTTCCAAATGTCACCGAAGACATCATAACAGCTAAGAGACAATGGCACAAAAACGCTGTGTCTTTTTATTTACCCAGTCCACCTGCTTGTGGCGCCGGGGGGAGGAGCAGTGTGCGTGTCGGGGAACATCAGTTCTGTCTAAAAAACTTGCCCAGGACAGGGGCTTATGGGGAAACACCGACTAAACCCAAATGAGCCAACTTGTCCAGGAGTTCCCGCCGATAAAAGCTGCCTGCTGTTGTTTGACCAACAATGACATCGGAGAAAATGAAAATGTTCGTGGCTCCACATACGACTGGAATTTGGAAACTGTCCGGCTGCCTCTGCCAACTAACCCACAGCTTTCTTTCTCTCCGACCACACTGAAGGAATCAGCCTGTGCAGTCATCTGGTCCAGCAACACAACACAACAGAGTCCATTCAAAACAAAACAGTGAGCACGGCACAGCTATTCAGGAGCTCTAACCAAGACTTCTCTCAACAACTTCACACATTTACAGAGATTTCACACAATAGCCCACAGTTTTACCCAAATAAGGTAATTCGGCTTTGAAATTTCCGTCTGTTGTTGAGATTTAAGGGGATAAAGCAGTTCCCCACGCTGATGGGACTGTGGTAGCAGCGGTTAGCCGCAGTGGAGCAAACCGCCACCAGAGTGCTAACCTATCAACCCCAGCAGCAGCGCAGCGTTACCGTTACTATGGATTTGAACACCGCGGCGCTGGGACAAAAATAACAGTAGAAGCTGTTTGTACTGACCTCCTGTTCGGGGGCTCGGCGCCGTCAGGCCCGCTTCTCGGTGAAGGTCCGAAATAAACTTTCTTATGTCCGTTTTGTGGTGTAAAACTCTTCCCCGCACACACGCAAGAGTGCTGCGCCAACTCCTCTCGTTGCCTCGCTTCCAGCCCGCTGCTCGGTCTGAGAGCGTCCACCCCTCAGACACTACGGCTAAGATGGCGTGGTATTTCTTTTCCCACCCGTATTCCGACCGGTCCCGCCTCATGCGCTGGGATTGGTTAGAGGATTTCGCCTCCTGTTCTGGGATTGGTCAGAGGATTCCGCCTCCTGTTCTGGGTTTGGATAGAGGAGCTCACCTCCTGCTCTGGGATTGGCTAGAAGATCCCGCTTCCTGTTCTGGGATTGGCTAGAGGATCCCGCCTCCTGTTCTGGGTTTGGCTAGAGGATCCCGCCTCCTGTTCTGGGTTTGCCTAGACGATCCCGCCTCCTGTTCTGGGTTTGGCTACAGGATCCCGCCTCCTGTTCTGGGATTGGCTAGATGATCCCGCCTCATGTTCTGGGTTTGCCTAGACGATCCCGCCTCCTGTTCTGGGATTGGCTAAAAGATGTTGCCTCTTCCACTAGGATTGGGCAGAGGATCTCGCCTCCTGTGAGAAATGGCTAGAGGACCACGCCTTCTTCACTACAACTGGCAAAAAGGGTCCCGCCTCCTCCGCCAGGATTGGTTAAAGGATTCTGAGCTAGGATTGGCTAGTAGTCCACAGCTGACTCGTGAGAATGAACTACTGTCCCGTCCTAGCGCTGGGGGCGGGACCTGTGGGAAGGGAATACGGGTGGAAAACAGTAAGCTAATTAGGCTCACCCTCGCTAATCACCCTCGCTAAGTTCTTGCGCCGTCATCAGCATTCCGTTATACGTCACCATGGAGACGGGTGGCAACAACATGCATGTGGACTCCTTCATGCGTTCCCGCCAGTTCTCTGCCGCAACCTGCCAGTAATACATGAGCTACAGTCAAGGAATCAAATGTTTTCTTTATTTTTCTGAGGCATTTTATGAAACTCCAGGCACTAATGAGCTCTTTTTTGTAGATTTTTATTTGTCAATTTATTGTATCTGTGCAGTCGGATTCTGTGGACATGTCCAGTGTCCAGTTCTGGCGAAGTTCAAAACTGGACCCGTCTCTGAATTTCTGATGAATGAAACAGCACAAGCAGTGAGCAGTTATGTAATGTTCGCATCATTGCGTGGGAGAATTTGTTGCTCAATACTGCCACCATCCGTTTTTCTGATGGCATTGGTTATCAGCCCTTTCAGCCCTAAAGCCGTGCACTGCAGTTGCGTCTTTTCCCTGCAACTGTCATCACACAATGATCTAGTCCTACCTGAACTGGATCAGGTGTGTCAGAACAGGAAAATGTACAGTGCAGGTGGACTACAGTTGGGAAATACAGGTCTAGAGAAGTGGTCACCAAGCCTCCTCCTAGAACTCTACCTACCTTGAATTCAGTTTCAGCTCAGATCCTACCTGATTCAGCCGATCAGGGTCTTCTGAACTGATCAGGTGGAACACGCATATTCAAAGAGAAGCCCACCTGATTACACTTTAATCAGTTGGTCTCCGTCTTTAAACAGCTGAGGTGTGTTCTTGCTTGTTTGGGATGAAAACCTGCAGCCACAGAAGACCTTTGCAGATAAGATAGACCCCTGCTCTAGAGGTCTTCAACTCTGTCCCTTGAATCCAGTTTCCAGTCCAGGATTTTGTAATTACAGTAATTGAATTGATTTATCTGATTAGCCACTTTGCATCATATCTACCAATTCTTACAAAATTCAGCACCACAAGGTCCATAGTTGATGAACTCTTGGTCCTTGTGTACCCCTGCCCTGCATATTTTCATGTTTTCTCTGCTGTAACACACCTGCTCAGCCAAACAAGCCCTTCCTGTGTTGAACTGGATGTGCTGCAGAAGGGAAAACACTAAAACGTGGAGGGCCGGCATACTTCATTAAGCTTCTTATGAATTAATTCCTGGTTAGAATAATCCAATGAAGGTAACCCAGTGTTACAATTACGACCAGGGATATATTCCTGACTGGGCCAGTGTGGTCTGCGGTCAGGAGCCTCAGGCGGACCACAAAGCCCGAGGCAGCTCAAAGACTCAGGACCAACCAACCCCATCAGATGTAAAGGCAAGAATAATGAACAGCCCTTGAATATGTAAATGACAAAATAAATTAAGAAATGCCCCTCAGCCCATATGCTTGCTAAGGAGCAGGATTCTTTACATTAACATAATCAATGAAACCAAACTGAAACCAAAAGCAAAGAACATTATTGCTGTTTGGTATCTAATCAGAGGCTCAGCGTGTTGGTTTGTAGGCATTTTCAAATGCATGACTGAACGACACTGATCACGTTTTAGCATGCAAAACAGAATCAATAATGGATCATAAGTGCTTGAATATGAGTGCTTTAAAGAGACAAGCAAGTGGAACAGGGGGCCCTTCAAAGACTACGTCCCAGGCACTATTATTAGCTAAGCAAACACAATACTGTAAAGAGCTCTCGATTAAACAAACAAATTTCTATAAAAAAAAAAAAAACAACACAAAGACGTTTTATACCATTAATTTTATTTGCGTTTCATGTCAAGGGGTGAAAACTTGGCCTACAGTAAGCATTTGGAAGAAATATACACAGCATTTCAATCCAGTCTATAATTACGCATACATTAGAGAGCTGACTGTATACACACCAAGTTCCCTCACCATTGTTATACATACTGTATCTGTCATTTAAACTGAAAAGCTGTCCCCATCACAACCAAAACAGACACCGACAGTTTTCAAAATGCATGGCTTCTGGAGGTGATTCTATTCAAAATAATAATTAATTAAGGAAGAATTCATCTAGTCAATTTGACATGCGAGATACTTATCTTCAGATTATAATCTGTGGTGTTCAACTGAGATGGAACATTTAAAGTGCTTTTAAAATACATACAAAAACCAAACAAAACAGTTTAAAAGGCCAGTCAAGTTTTTTTGTTTGTTGACTTTGTTTACCCATTAATTCACTTCAGTATTGTGTAACCTGCATTACGCCTGATCAATATTGCACGCATAAGGTTATTTTTTTCAAAGGTATTAAGCCATCACGCTGCTACAACTACTGAAATTTACACAGGACAACTAACAGGTGAAAATTTCACCAAAACGGAAATTAATGGTAGTGGAAGCTAAAGGAGGCAAAAAAAAACTAAACAAAAACACACAACATGTAGAAAATATCAACAAGAAATAAAATTCCCATGTCTATATTAAAACAGAAATAAATAAAAACATCCACCTGCAAACACAATATAATGAAAACATGGCAAAGAACTATTAAATAGACCCCTCCCTAAATTCAGCTAGGCCCTTGCCTGACAAAAGGCAGCAATGTCAGTCTGAGTCTCAGAAACAGACAAAATCAGAAAGATGAAATCCTAATGGTCACATCTATCCAGCGAAGTGCAACCACAAAGGCATCAGCAGTGTGTATTTATTAATTGCCTTTGATTTTTTAATTTTTTTATTTTTTAGGTGTGAACCAAGCACAACTGCTACATTTAACATTCAATCAAACTCAGACTGATTTCATAAACACTCATAAGCCAGCGTAAACACTATGAGCCAGATTTATGAAAGCATTTAGTACATATCAAAATTGTTTGCACACACAATTTTAGTATCATAGTCAATGACTGGAGAACAACAAAGGTCTCACCCACTCACTGCTTAAATACTTCTTTTGTACCTGCAAACATTTTGCGGCTAATGATTTTAATAAATCATGCCCAATGCCCACGAGGTGAAATGCTGATTATATGGGTCTGTCACCATATGTTAACTGGCCATAATCCATGATGAAGAATTTGCCAATGCTCATGTCCCAATGTCATGTAGCTTTTAAACATGGCCCATCAGCTGTACTAGAGCTTAGCCTTATGAAAGTTAGAGTTATTCCTATAGTTTCTATATCCACATCAAAATACAGAAAACAGTTAAGCTAAAACCAAAAACATCATGATTCTCTGAATTGATCAGTATAGGTCTGATGAAGAACGTAAACTATAACATGCAGAGAGCCTGGCTACTAAAACTGGACATAAAACGCCCCAACACTGCTTCCTCATTGGGGAATTCCATTAATAATGCATCAGAGGTATGCCACTTTCAATTCAATTACAGTTGAAATGAATTTCTTTATTAACCTACATTATACTAAAACCATCCGGTCAAACTACTGGAAGCCTATAGGGCAGTACACCAGATCAATAGTGATCAATTCATGAGTAGTGACTGATTAAATGACATGCACCTCAGCTGGGTAGGGAGCAGCAATATTGAGAAACCTCAGCCTTTCTTCATCTACAAAAACAGCAAGATCTATAATTGAACAGGTGATGTTTCATTGACACAAAGACCGAGCGTTTACATACATTTCTCTATGCTGATATCACTATCAGTAATGATGCACATTAACCATTATGCTTTTGTACAGTGCTTTAAAATATACCTGTGGAGTGTCTACAATGAGCAGCTTGGTGTCCTTTTACAACGTTCACTTTCGTTTCTACTTTCTTCATTCCTTTTTGTCCATAATTGTTTGTAACACAACACTTTCTACCTTACGAAAGCCCCAATGCTTAATAACTTATTCCAATAAACAAAAACAAGTTCTCTGTTTATTTACAGTTAGACTGTAGTGTTTAACGTATCCATTCAAGTGATTTGGTTTAATGGAAACTATTCAGTGGAAGCAAGAGAGAACAAGACCACTCTCTCCAAAACAATCAAAAACAAATAGTGGGTAGCATAGATAAATAAGGCTAGGAGGATGCATTAACTAGGATTTATCTTTTTTTGTTCATTTTTAAATTTTTCATTCATTTCTGCCTATTTTTTTTTATTCCTTTTGTAAATGTTGAAGATACATTCAGCTTGGCACAGTGAGGGACTAAAATGGTAGGACATGAATAGAAACCTACTGTGTTTAGGAGTGAATCTACATGCTACTTACATAGCAGTGACTGCACTCAATTTTTTTGTCTCATTAGTGTTTTTTGTGTTTAAAAGGTGAGATGGTTCACTAACGATATGAGTGGCGAGGACAACTGTACAGCCCAGGTAGGGATATTTCCATACATACATACATATATATAT